TAAGCTGTTGAGTGAAGAAATCGGACGGAACTGCTCTCTCGTCTCACTTCCATTTCAAACTTAAAATGGGTAAAGAAAACTTAGGTTGACTTTTAAAACTTGCAAAGATAAATTTGCAAATTTTACAAAATTATTGTAAAGCAAATCCAAATATTGTATAATGCATTGCCAATAACTTACGTTTTGCGTTTAAACGAATTTTGTTATTTATTTAGTTCAATTTTTCTTATATATAACGCAGAGACCATTTACCATTAGCTAATTAACAGAACGCTTCTGTTTACTGGCGACTGCCAGGCTGGAACCCCATAACTTCCAATTTTTATCTCCGCTATTCTTTAATATGAATTATTGTTAAACATACGCAATGTTTTTCAAAAATTTTTTTTTCAACAATTGCAAAATTGTACATGTTATTTTCTTGCACTTGAAAAATGTTTTAAAATACTTTTAACAAATCTACCAAAATAAAAATTTCAAACGTAACGTTTGAACCGCCCTAAAGCGTAGGAATACAAATACAAAATTACCTTAGCTCACGCGGCCTTCTTGATTATTTTCTCACAGAAGGCATTGTTTCGATTTAAAATTTTAACATGAAATATATATTGTATACTTATTCAAAGTTTTCTATTATTTTCATTTCAAATTTTTAAGTGTAATATTTTGAACAAGGATTCCTGATACTTTACAATTTTTTTAATAATTACCAAGTAATGATTTATTAAATAATACCGTAATACAACTTTTTTCTAATTAACTTATATACATGGGTATTTTGTAGTTAGAAACAAGGTGTAATAATTTTTTTAAAATTATGTCTAAATTTTTTGTAGTCTATTTGATTTTTTTAATTTTTATTATTTACTATTTTTTCTTTTTCTTTGCTTCAATTTCATCTACTTGTTTTTGTAATTCAATAGCGTCATAATCAGGTACATATTTTGCATCTTCTATTTCTTTTGTATGCTCATGTACACTTATTTTGACACCAGGGGGGCAGGCAGTAATTAGAGTTTCTAAAAATAGAGGCATTATATGACTTTTTGCATCTATGATTTGTACATTTCTTTCATATAATTTTAACTTGTATTCCGTTTTTATTTGACTAGAGTTTTCATAAAATGTCTGTACTTTGAGATGTTGGTAAGGAAAAGCCCAAGAAGCTGTAACATCAATTGACATTTGCTTAGCAATTCTATGAATTAAACTTTGAAACTTTTCAAGTACAGCAAAATCAAATCCTTTGATTTGAACATTAATTTCATCGTACTCCGGTGTTTTCGTTTTAGCAAGCTGAAAAGTTAATAAAATTTGTAATAAAACAATATTTTCAAAAAATTACTCATTTATAACTTTTTGAAAATCATTCAAAAACCCACTACTAGGTAATCCGGCTCCCACAAACTGAAATGTTTTACTTCATAGCCTTTCGGAATAATTGCTGTTTTACTTTTAATAGCACCATAGCGCTCCGCCTTTTAAAAAAATTAATTGGCCATTAAAATGTATTTCAAAAAAGAACAACCAAAAAAATATAAAACTTTACCTTCTGTAAGAAACTTAAAAAACGCATAATAACATTAAATACATAAGAAATATAAGAAAACCTAACCTCAATCTTTATTTACCAGTTGTAAACTTTCATAACACTGATAATAATCAAGAAGGCCGCATGAGCTAAGGTAATTTTGTATTTGTATTCCTACGCTTTAGGGCGGTTCAAACGTTACGTTTGAAATTTTTATTTTGGTAGATTTGTTAAAAGTATTTTAAAACATTTTTCAAGTGCAATAAAATAACATGTGCAATTTTGCAATTGTTGAAGAAAAAATTTTTGAAAAACATTGCGTATGTTTAACAATAATTCATAATAAAGAATAGCGGAGATTAAAATTGGAAGTTATGGGGTTCCAGCCTGGCAGTCGCCAGTAAACAGAAGCGTTCTGTTAATTAGCTAATGGTAAATGGTCTCTGCGTTTGATATAAGAAAAATTGAACTAAATAAATAACAAAATTCGTTTAAACGCAAAACGTAAGTTATTGGCAATGCATTATACAATATTTGGATTTGCTTTACAATAATTTTGTAAAATTTGCAAATTTATCTTTGCAAGTTTTAAAAAGTCAACCTAAGTTTTCTTTACCCATTTTAAGTTTGAAAATGGAAGGTGAAAAAGGAGAGAGCAGTTCCGGTCCGATTTCTTCACTCAACAGCTTATTTTCTTTTACCAGTCCCGCTGTGAAAAAACTATTGGGATGGAAGCAAGGAGACGAAGAAGAAAAATGGGCTGAAAAGGCTGTTGATTCATTAATAAAAAAGC